TGCCCTTCCACTTCAGATTGTAGCATTCATAATTTTGAAAAAAAGACAAAATATAAATAAAAATAAAAAGTTCAAAAATGCTAAAAAAATTTGAAACTTTTTGAGCATGGACATGATGCCACAAGTAGAGAACTTCACACCTGACCTTAGGAGGCAAGTTACAGTCAAAATGCAGGCATGCTAAATGTACTATGTAAATATACCTTCAGGTTACATGTATAAGGTATGTATGAAACATAAATGAATTTTATGCTTAGATTTGGATCCCCTCCCAAGATATGCTTATATTATTCCAAAATGCAAAAACATCTGCAATCTGAAACACTTCTGGTCCCAAGTAATTTAAATAGGGATATTCAACCTGTACCCTCAATTCCTCCTCACTTAACAGCAACACACTCACCACCTTGTTCACTCTCCTCCTACCACCCTGGTCTCCCTTAATCTGACAGTATCTACTCTTGCTGACAAAAGGATTTTTTGCTCATCTTGGGTTTTTTTCCTGTCTTTTCCTCATTTACAAGATGGGAATAGCTCATATTTTATGACTTAACATATTTAAGTGTCACCTCCTCCATGAGGCCTCTTCTTGTTATCAGAAAGTCACATTGTGTTCTCAGTTCTTATGTCTTGGTGAGAAAAGATTTCAAGCAAGACATGAGGCATGGTAAAAGCATAACACAGTTATTAGAAGAGAAAGAAGAAGGGACAGGTGTCCTCTGTCAAGGAAGGACATCTTGAAGAGGAAATCAACAACTTACTTCTTGTGAGTTCTCTTTTATTGGGGTAGGAGAGGAAGTTTCCAAAAGGTCCCACCTAAGCACCATCTCTTAGCTCTTGGTTCACTGTACGTTAGTCAGTATTATATGACATCATCAACTCCTTATAGTGTATGTCTTACGCATGAGTGTCTATGTGAAACTTGGGAGTGAAAATTTATAATTATAACAATATTAAATAATACTCTAAGTACCTAAAGGTAACTTTGGTCATCATATCTTGTATAGGCCATTTTTATCTGGAACTTGTTTTTACAAAGCTTGAGTCCATTAAACTCTTCAGCCTCTACTCAGGAAAAATCTATCTTCCTCTTATCCAAGGAAGAGCCTTAGGCAAACCACCTCAGCTCTGTGAATAAAGGTAAGGGTTATTAAATCAGAGCAGGGCAAGGGTGACTTTGTGTAAAAACATATCGAGCAAGCTGGAGTTGTGGCTCAGTGGTAGAATGCTTGCCTAGCATTCAGGAGGCACTGGTTCAATTCCCAGCACCACATAAAAATAAAATAAAGGTATTGTGTCCATCTACAATTAAAAAAATATTTTAAAAAATATTGAGCCAGCCGTGGTGGCTCATGCCTGTAATCCTAGTGGCTCAGGTGGCTGAGGTAGGAGGATTACACATTCAAAGGCAGCCTCAGCAATTCACCAATTTATTTTGCCTGTCTCAAAATAAAATAACAAAAAGGACAGGGGATGTGGCTCAGTGATTAAGTACCCCTGGGTTCAATCCCAATAATAATAATAATAATAATAATAATAATAATAATTACATTGAGAATTAGCATGTAGGCTCTGTCTGTAGAATTAACTCTTGATCTCATGTTCCCACTCCTAATGTTTACCTGTTCTTTATCACTCTGACCACACTATCTAAAGGAGGCCCCTCCTTGTTAAGCTCTGTCTCTTTGCTTCATTATTTCCTATCTCCCTGTTGTGTTGGAAACTCCATGAAGGTGAGGCTCATGTCTGTCTTTATTGTGTTATATCAAGTGTCTAGCTTCGTCCATAACAAATGCTCAATAAATATCTGCTGGATGGATGGATGAACGAATGAATGGACACAACTTCTCCACCCTGACCCTTTAACCAGGTCTGATGTCCTCTTTCATTGACCCATCCTGAGATAGATACCCAGGGCTTTACATGTCATGAGCCTATAATAGTTATATGAGACCTTGAAGCAGAAGGTAGAGTATCTTGTGCTCTCCATCAAAATGGAATTTTATTTAAAATGGCCCCAGTTCTGAGAATCAGTGTAAGCTAAGGGAAAATCTAGAGGAGTTCCCCATTTCTGCTTCCCACAGCTTGCAGGATGGGCTCAATGCTGTGGCTTCTGAGGGAGGAACCCCAGGAAGCCTGGCCTGAAAGTGAAGCCTGTGTTTGGGGGACCAGCTGTCAGGACAATGCCTCTCATGAAATGGTCAAAGGTTCTTTGGAAAACCAAACTTTCTAGCAGTACAAGCATCCTGATGGTAGCAGCTCTGCAGAAAGACCAGTTCTTGAGAATTCAAAACAAAGAGAAATGGCTGAGACTTTGTGGACATCTCAGAGTGAGCAAATCTGACTGAGGGTTCACTGGAGAAACAGGCAAGGGGAAAAAAGAATAGGAATGTGTATAGGAGATCTGTAAAACAGAGGATCTAAGGATGACTGTACGTTAGTCAGTATTATATGATATCATGATCTTTGCCTTATTCATTACCTGCTCTCAAGTATTCAAAGATGATTTTTCACAGAAGCCATCACAAAATATACCACTGAAATGTTGATTTCTATTGCTCTGCCACCAATCCTGCCTCTCTAACCTCCTTCCTCTCTATCTTTTGGGGCACTATGTATTCTTTGTTCTCTTTGGATTTCCAATTATATCTTTCATATTTCATGATTCTTCCTCCTACTCCCCTGGAATACGAATAATAGTTTTTCCTAAGATGCAGTCCTCAGCCTTCTTTTCTTCCCCCATTTTCTCATGGAGCTCATCTTAATGGCTTTAGTTACAGCTTTATGCTGACAACTCCTCAATGGACATATCTAGTTCATTCACTTACATCCATTCCTGACATCTCAGAAGTGATTGATTACCTACCATGTTTTCCATATCTCAAATTCAACAGGTCTCAAACTGAATTCTTCAGCTTCCTCAGACTGATTTCCTTCTACCAACATTCCTGTTTCTGTGAATAAATTCACTCTTGGTCACATGTCTGATGTGTGACTTTTCAGAGGTTACCTGTAACCATTCATCTCCTTCCCATTTGATGTTGAGTTCAACCAGTTCCAGAGATTTGAGGAGTGGAGAGTACTGGGGATTGAACCCAGGGCCTTATACATGCTGGGCAAGCACTCTAGTACTGAGCTACATCCCCAGCTCCTGTGGATCATTTATTTTATATTGCTCTAGAATCAGTCCTCACATTAGGACTACGTCAGTTTTAAGTAACAAAAATCCCAACCCAACCTGGTTCAATATAAAATGAAATTTATTGGCTTGCGTATCTGAAAAGTTGGATCTAGCTCTTTGCAAGATATTTTTTGGGAATGGCCTGTCTCTACTTTATCACTTTGTTTTTTTGTTGTCAGGCAAACTTCTTTTGCAGTATCAAACATGGAAGATGAATGCTTTATGGTCTTTCTATAACTAAATTTATGACTATTCATTCCTATTCCATTTCTACCAATAAAGTTGAATTCGACTGGTTTGGTTTTTTGCTTCTAATGCTGAATCATGACATACTCAAGCCCAATCTTAAATTTAAAAAAAAAAGCAAGTCTTCATATTTAACACAGTCTTAGAAAGAGAGTAGATGTTCTCTGTATGGGAGGGTCCCCAAGAACAAGGAGGACCTTTCTGCAATACCCAATTGGTTGAAAACATCTGATTTCATGAGATGTTCAATTGACAACATTCATCAGAATATATTTTTGTGCAATATAGAGAATTTTTTAAGTATTTCTTAGTGTTATCAACTGGTTCTGTACATTGTCTTTGGAAAGATAATTTAAACAAAGTGGTCTCGAAAAACTGCTCACTTTTTTTCCTTTATTTATTTAGAAAACTGCTTTCTTTAAAAGTGTTATAAGTTGTGAATGTAACTTTCATGCCTCTGATTGGTTGTCTTACTTGATATGTATTGTCCAGCTAATAATTTTGAAATTACCACCTCCACATGTGTGAAACTCTATACACCCTTGAAAATATTTTAGGTTTTGTGAGACATGGTCTCTGGTATCCATTAACTCTGCCCTTCAAGCATCAAAGCATCCAGTAAGCAAATGGGCATGGTGGTGTTACAACTTTATTTATGGACATTGAAAATGGAATTACATATAGACCTCATGTGTCATTTTGCTTTTAGTTTTTTTCGACCATTTAAAAATATAAAAACCATTCTTATCTTACAACTGCACTGAGTACTCTACTAAGAACTGTTTCCCCAGAAAGTCATGTGACTAACCTCCTTACTTTAACAGCCTTTCCTTTACATTTCACCTTTTCTTAGTAAGATCTAGCCTGATCCTCCTGTCTAAAACTGCAACTTGTCTAAAACCTCCTGCCTGTCTCCACCCTATTCTCTACCTTCCTTACTTCAATGTTTTCCCCACAGTACTTAGCATCTTTTACAATATAAATAATTTACATTTATTATCCTATTATTTGTCTTCCCTTGCCAGATGGTAAGCTCTCTGAGTCAGGAAAGACAGGATGAAAAAAGTTGACCTACTAGATGCTATGTAAATGGAGAAGGTAAGGATGATTCCAGTTGCTGACTTCACTCAGCTGAAACTATCATGTACTTCAATGTTATCTGTAGATCACTCCCAGCTAGTCTGAAAGTATCTCATTGCAAAGATCTTGCTTTTCAGACTTTGCATTAGCAGTATTAGAAAAGCGTCTATGTTGGACAAGAATTAGGTGAATGAGTACACTAAAAATATTAGGAGTAATTCTATGATCTAATGAGACATGTAGCCTAGAGTACAAAGCCTACAGATATTGTTCTCCGCATGCTGTTATCAAAAAGAAGAGAAAAAGGAGGGAGACAAGAGGAAGCCGGCTTCTCGCTTGCTTTCTACCTATTGTACAACTAGGAAGCTGACAATAAAGTTTATTTGAGCGTCGACGTGCCCTGACGTGACTCCGCCTCCACATCCCGAGCCGCGATTGGTGAAGATTTGCCGGCGGCCTGCGTTCTTAAGTCCCGATTGGTGAAGGTCGCCATCATTCCGGAGCGTCCCGGCGTCAGCCCGCCCTCTCGCCGCGTCGCCGGTGCCTGCGCCGCCCGCTCCACCTCGCTTCTCCTCTCCGGGCGAGGCCCGGGGGACCTGAGTGAGAAGCGGGGACCATGTTCCGACGCAAGCTGACGGCTCTCGACTACCACAACCCTTCCGGCTTCAACTGTAAAGGTGAGGCGGCAGCCCCTAGCCGGCCGCTTGGCCCTGACCCCGGCTGTGGACGCACCCCCACCGGGACCCTTGGCGGCCTTGTACCCCTCTCGGGCATGAGGGGGCCTTTGGGCCCCCTTTCTCGGGGCCGCCACACACCTCTGCCCTCCGCCGCGCCCCGAGGTCGGAGCCCCTTCACTCATTCCTGCCTGAGCATCGCCACTTTCTCTACTTGATAACTCTAGACTCCCC